CTGGTTAAGTGGCTTTAAAGAAAGATATAACATTAAAGAGTATATAAAACATGGTGAAGCTGGTAGTGCTCCAATTTCAGAATTACCATTGTATAGAGAACAAATAAAAAATATTACAAGTCAATACCAATTATCTGACATTTTCAATGCAGATGAAACAGGCTTATTTTGGCAATTGGAGCCTTCTAGAGTGTTGTCCACAGGGCAGTGTTGGCAAATCTGTCCAAATGTCCAATTTGTCCAATTTGTGTCCAATATTTGGATCCAAATGTCCAATTAGTATTTGGAATTGGACATGGTGTAACAAAGCCACATTGGCATATTGGACTGTCCAATATGCCAACACTCTCATCAATGAAAATTTTAATAAGAAAAATTATTCAATTTTTATAAAAAGCAATATAACTTTTATTTATAATTAAAATTAAAAATTTTTAATTAACAAAATCAAGTAATAAAAAGAAGATAATTTTTCATCTACCAGAGATTGATATCTAAAGGTTCAAATAAATCTTTTATAGCCCATTTAGCATCCTTATTGTTAGCAGGATGTTCTGTTTCTCCTACCAAGTCAAAAACATCTTCTGCTGGCAAGAATATGAAATTAGAAATATTTTCATCTTCAATTGCAGCTCTTTCTTCTTGTATCATTCTTTCACAGGTCCTAAAATAAGCTTCTATTTCTTCATTAGTAGTTATAGTTTTAGTAATGGTATCACCATCTTCGATATCTTCTTCACCTAAAATTCCATCATTTTCATTACTTGAGATTGTAATGTTATTATGATCATTACCATTTCTGTTATCATTATTGTTATGATCCAAAATGGTGCAATCATCATTTTCATCTGATGGTAATGGTAATGATGTATGATGATGTGAAAATTTTTTCTTTTCTTGTTTAGTATTGAAATGAATGGTTGCTCTCAGTTGTGCCATGGTTAAGACCTTTTGAAGCTAAAAAATTTTATAAAATATCAGAATTCTGTTGGCTCAGTTGGTCAATAAAATATAATAAGTATAGACAGTAACCTTTAATTTATTTCTCCTTATGTTATGTAAGAATCCCATCAACGACCACAATCTCTCTACAGAAGCAGAGTTTGTGCAAATTCCATAAAGCCTAATTGCAACTGGTCCTAATTCTGTTGCATGTGTAGAAAAATAACTTCAAAATTGTTTAACATCTTTGGAAAGCATAGAATAGTATGGTTCTGAAAATGGAAATTTTTTTCTTCGGAAGAAGCAAAATTAGGAATTATTCCGTTGGCCAAATTATAGCCATTATTCAGGAATTTAATTCCACAGTCAATAATAATTAAATCTTCATTTTTTTCAATTACATAGCAGTTTTTTCCGACTTCGTGTAAATCGCCTAAGGCTAATATTTTTAAATTATCAGACATAGATTATTTGCTCTTCTTCTTTTTTTTCAATTTCTAATAATAAATTATGAGGCCTCTTTTTAAACCATACAACATAATAATAGGCAATCCATCTTCCTAAATCAACCCAAGTTAAATTTGGAATTGAATCATTAAATGTTGTATCTTTTAAAGTAGGGTGAAGGAAAATTGAAATAATCAATAAAGTCTGCTCCCAACTATTCCATCTTTTTTCAATTCTATTTATCATACGAGCTGCAAACTCTTGATCATGATGATTTTTGTATATTTGGACAAAATAACCAAATGACAATATAACATCATGTAATTGTGCCTTATCTGCCTGTAATTTATCCAAACATCTTGCAAAAGGTTTCATAAGATCTTTAAGTTCTTCTACATCTTCCCACCACTCTTCATTACTAATAATCTGACACAAATCATCAGAAAGTACAAAGGATCTTTCATTAGTTCTCAAATTTCTTGTGGCTTGATATTTGGTTACTAATGTCTAGTTGTAAAAAAAAACTTTGTTATAAATATTGATCGTAAATTAAATAAACTATTAATGAGCAAAAAAAAAAAAATCAACCTTCAAAGCTCCTTTGGATCTCAACAAACTTACATAGCAATCATAATTTGAGTTCCATCGAGTATCATTTGGTGATACTAAACCATATGTATTCCTATACAAATCCATTTGTTCATCACGAAGTCTTTTTATCCAATATGCATGATTAACATTATTAAAATAACTTGCAATAGCTACTGCATCTTTTGCAACAAGTTTCATCCTGTATGATTCCTTAAATATTTCACCAATGCATAAATTTACTTGGTGTGCAAAGCAAGGGATGAACACCTTATCTGTATGTTGAACATGTAGTTGACGTCTGAAAAATATAAAAAAAATAAAATAAAATTAAGATATTTAGCATATAATTTTTTTTTGTTATATATAATAAATTAAAAATATATTATTTAGTTTACAAATATAAATATTTACCTAGCTGCTGCATATTCTGCTGCACTGTCAGTAACTACAGCATTTATCATTATATTTTTTGACTGTAAATCTTCAAAAATCAATGTAATATGTTGGAGGACTTCTTGAGTACGACTTCTCTCACCACTAATATCATAAGCATTCCATACTAGTGTTTCACCTTCATTTGTAATTAATATTACACCAAGTATTTTTTCATTGACAACATTCGACCAACCATCCAATGCAACTGTCACACCATATTCAGAGTTAGATGCTTGTTCTTTTATCCAACTATTATGTTTAAGAGATGCATCATTCAAAATTCTTCCAGAAAGAGCCTTCCTATTTGGAAGTCTTATATTTGGATTCAACCATCTGAAAAGGGACTTTACTTCTTCGCTTTCAATCCACCTGAAAGCCAAACCATTAGATACAGTTATACGAAGTAAGTGATCCTCTAATATTGATTCTTCAGATTTTGTAGGAGTACATAGCATAAATCTTTCAATATTATATTTATTAATATTATTGCTTTGAAAAGAGCCCAAAGACAAATTTGTGATATTTTTATTTAGTGACGTTGATGTTGATGTTGATGTTGATGTTGATGTTGACATTGATGCAGATGTATTAGATGTATTGTCATTACCTGAGATAAAAACAAATAAAAAAACAAAAAATATTAATTAATTTCTTAAATTACCAAATGAGTTCATTATAATAAATTAATAATACTTGGTTCAATTGTACGTGCTCTTTTTTGAGAATTTGGGTGTATTTCTTCTTCTAAAATTTGATTAATGTTTTGCTCTCCTACTACCACTTTGAAATTTTCACATTTTTTTAAATGCGACTTAATTCTATCTTTTTTATTCAATAATTTATTCTGATATGCAACTTCATGACCCAAGGCATTTCTACAATATAAACAAAGTACATATTTGTTGAAGTTATTGGCTTTTTCATTAAGAATATAAATGTGTGGTGTTAAAGAATGTGGTTTGTTTCCCATTGTTTTAATGGCAAATAAATGAACATTATAAATAAATAATTTTTTTTTTTATTTAGAATTTTTGAATGTCTCACAAATAATTGGATGTTGGCATATTGGACAGTCCAATTTATGTCCAATTTACTATATTTGGTAATTTGGACATAAATTGGACTGTCCAATATGCCAATGTCCAAATAGCTACTGCGCCAATTGGATTTGGATTGGACAATTGGACAAGACAAATCCAATTGGAAATTAATTGGACATATAAAATGCCAAACCAATATCAAATTAAACCAAAACCTTTTGCAAAGCATATGTTGAAAAATCAGGAGAAGAAAAAATGGTTTCCAAACAAAAAAGATTGAATAATTCAGCATCTAAAGAAAATGTCTAATTTAACAAAAATAAAATATGAGGAGGAAAATTAGGTGCAGCTCAATTAATTCAATTACAATTGTTTAAATGGTTTTGCACAAATGTTAAATCAAGATCAAAAAAAATTATTATAAATAATGTCACTTTTTGACCAAGTAAAATTAATTAATTAATCAATCAACTGGGTAATTAAATAATCCTCCTACATTAATAATTCAGAGCCTTGCATTAGAGTAGAGGCAGAAAGTTAATATATATAATATGATTTTCTTTAATTCTTTCACTTTTGTGGTCAGAAATTAAACAATAGGAGTTAATTGTCCATTTAGTTATCAGAGTGGTATAGAACTCTGAGGTTTTGGTTATTTGCTTTAGTATTAGTAAAGAAAGTAAACGTTTAATTTTTAAGGGTAAACGTCCTTGTTTAATTGTTAAGACTTATTGGCAAAATTATTAAGTGCTAATAGTTATTAACCAAAGTCATTACCACATATTGATTATTGGCTATTGTGTTAAAGTAATTTCGGATGACTTTGATCGACCCAAGTAAAGCAAAAGCAAAGTAAATAGAAAAGGAACTCTATAGGTGCATTTGTTGCTTCGTAGAAGGGCCATCTTTATTTATTGTAATTCGTTGTTAATTGTACCATAAAGTGTGCTTACAAATTCGCCAAAGCTTTCTAGGTAGAAGAAAGAGGTAACAAGCAGGATAATTTCTTAAAATAAATTAATTAATTGACGAGTTAGCTAAAAGGCTAACTCGAAACGTTAAATAATTAATGTTGACTAAAAAAGCTACCCTTGTATTATTTACAAGCAAAATTTATATTTTATCCAGGAATGCCTGGGACATTCCGTGTCCGTGTCCGCTGACAACACTGATTAATAATGCAATCATTAGCGTTTAATTTATTAGAATCAAACGATGATATATCTATTTGTTGTTGTTGTCGATGGCAAAGAAGATCGTAATCATCACTTATAAAATATAACTTTTCGGATGAATGCAAATTTTTTTTTGAATTAGAAATTTCAACATACTAAACGAATTGACCTATTTCTACGATGTTAATATGATAGTACATGTGACAATATCATTATTGTTGCTACTTACTATGCTCAAATTTACTATATAATACGATGATAGCACAAGTGAATATTATCATTAATGTTACTGCTATGACGATAATTGAAATCAAGTTTTATTATTACCCTCAGACAATCTTTGTACTAGGGCAACGTCAAAATAGTAGTGATGGGTTGTGAAGATAATGGTGGTAATGGAAAAGCCAATAATTGTAAATTCAACGATGTTAAATGGTCGTCGATTTCATCCTCTGTCGGTATTGGTGAAGGTGAAATTGTTGCCGTTGCCGTTGATTTTCACGCCAATCATTTTTATTATTACAGTTTTGTTCATTAATGGAGAGATCATCCAAGTCATTCAAGACAATAACAATTAGAAATGCTGTCGGCATCATTGTGTTTTTGACCAATTACTATTGCTATTGAAATTTATTTTTTATTTTCTCACAAATTCATTTTTATTGGCTGGTGGTTGCATAATTAATTCTTGTAAATTATTCTGTTATAAAAAACCCTAACTTTTTTTGTCATTATTATGAATTTCATCTTAACCTCTGAAGACGATGAAAACAAGGTTAGTGATTAGTGAGAGTGGCTCGTTTTTTTAAATATAATTAATAATAATAATATTACGGAGCTTCCGTTAATTTAGGAGCAATTTTCTCAATGACCAGTGATTAATAAATGTTTCATAATATTAAGTTTCGTTTAATATTATTTTCCGAAAAAAGAGTCAATTAATTTGTGTCAAAAAAATTTTGCATATTTATTATTATCTTAAAATTGAAGAGAATAATAACAAACCCCTTGATTCCTAAATGTTATTAATTGTTTCACTATTTATTCTTTGGGAAGTGTATGCTTATCGAAGATCAATAATAAAGAGGACTCGCTTTCTTGTTTATTCCAAACATCTAGAAAAAGCATTAAAGTTCTTCGAAGATCGTTGCTATATAAAGGTTTGTCTTCTTATTTACAACAAATTTGGATTTTTTTCATTTTATTTTTTTTTCCTCTTAAAATATCTTCTTTCCCTCGTCAAGTTTATCAAACAATAAATATATTTACTCATCGAAAATTTTTTCAAAGAAAAAGAAAAAAAGGTTTGCATGATAAATTTATTTATTTATTAATAATTGTTTTGATAATTGATTGATTTGGTAAATTCTTTATAATTTTTAAATGAAAAGAATAAATATTGAGCTTCATTAGAAAAAAATAAATCAAAAAAAATACTTCTTTTGATCGATAGATGAATAATTAACAGCTTATTATTATTTTATTCATTTAGGTCAAAATTGTGAAAGATGGCACAATCCAATATTCTACAAGCCACTTCATTTCTAGTTGAGCCTGATCAACAATCTACCATTGACACACTCGTTAAAAATACTAGTTACTACTCTACTGACACTGACACTGATGATACTGGTACATCTACCACATCTACTACTAATGCCAATACCACAACCACAACTACTGCCATCACTTCTTTTAACGTTATAGAAAACATCAACATTAACACTATTGCTAATTTTAATTCTGATATTAATAATGCAAATATGGATATCACTGATAATTCAGAAACCTTTGCCATCAATGACATCTTCAGTAACGATAATATTGTTAATAGAAATAATTGTAGCATTAGCAACTATAATGATGATGATAATGATAATAACGATAACGATAATGATAAAAATAAAGATCATCAAACTAGTCCAAAAACTAGAACTTCTTATACAGTTGAAAAGAAAAAAGAAGTTACCGAATATGCAAAGAAACATGGTAGAAATTCTGCTGCGCGTCATTTTAAAATTGATCGAACAATGATCGGAAGATGGGTTAAAGCAAGTAATAAATGGGATGATAAAGTGAGTAACAATTCTAAACGTATTGGCTCAGGTCAAAAAGCGCATTATCCTGATGCTGAGAAACAACTTTATGCTTGGATTTGTGATCAAAAAGATCAAGCTACAAAATTGACTCATGCAAAAATTCAAGCAAAGATGCACGAAATATTAAAACAAAGTGAAATGGAAAAAAAATATCCAAATGCTTTAAATAATTTTAAAGGTAGTGCTCGTTGGGTAATGGGTTTTCTAAAACGAAATAATCTTCCAATATGCAGAAAATCTAAATTTCAAAAGGCACGTACTAAGGTTGCTGCTGAAAGTTTCAACAACTTTCGTAAAAATGTAGTCCAACTGAGACTTCAATACGATTTTATTACTGCTAATATGTTTAATATGGATAAAGTTCCTGTGTGGTTTGATGAATCTGGAAACATGGTGATTAATAGTAGACGTAAAAGAATTACTCATAATGATACTATGTTGGTTGAAAATTATCACTTTACTATTATTTTAACATGTGCAGCTGGTATTATTTTTTTTTATCTGTATATTTTTTATTTATATAATTTTATTTTATTCTTATTAAACTATTATTATTATTATTATTACTATTAGATGGAACAAAAATGCCACCAATATGTATCTTTAGAGGAACACAAATGCCACCTGGAGAAACTGTCCCTAATGGAGTTCTTGTTTGGTTTCAAGAGAATGGAGTATTGACTACTGAACATCTGAAAAATTATGTTGATATTCTTCATTGTATGAGAATGGTTAAAGACAGTAATGCGCCAGCTTTATTTGTACATAATTCGTATAATGGTCGATTGGAAGACTCTGTAATTTCGAAATTTCAATGTAACAATTTTCAAGTTGCGGTAATTCCTGAAGGATTGACTGGAGTATGTCAACCTCTTAACGTCATTGTCTTGAGATCATTCAAAGAAAATTTACGTAAAGAATGGCAAAATTGGAAAAATGCTAGTCCTCCTATCAATTTACAAGCTAAAATAACCGAAGTTTGTGGTTGGGTGAAAAATGCATGGGATGAAGTTTCTTCTACCCATATTGTAAATGCATTTAAAAGATGTTTGATCTCTAATCCTCTTGATGGTGCTGAAAATGATAAAATATTTGAAGAGTTGGATATCTTAAATCCAAATGATTCTGATCATGGTGGATCTCACAAAGCAACAACTAGCAATCCCAATGATTCTGATGGTTCGCAAGATGCATCAGAATATTATTTAGAACGTCATTAAAAATTCTTTGGCGATGGCATGATAATGGTAGGTAAAGAAGAGAGAAACTTCAACTTTGGGGAAAGTATTGATAAATAAGAAATAATGATTAAAATTTATATACAAATGAAAATTTTAAAAATAATAGTAATAATAAATTTGCCCTAAAATTTATCAAGAAGGCTGTTTTCCTTTGATAAATAGAATGTAAATATATTTTTTATTTTGCACAGAAAAAAAAAAAAAAAAAAAAATAAATATATATATATATATATATATAAATGCTACTTTATTTTTTATCAATTATTTGTAATATAATTTGTTTTGTTTTTTTTTTTTTATCAAAATTTTTTATTTTTTATATTTTTTTTTAAAAAAAGGAGGATATAATATTTTTTTTTATATTTTATTTTTTTTTTTCACATATATTTTTCGGATGAAAAATCTATCGTTATATATTATGATTTTATGAAAATCAAAAGTTTTTTCGAAAAACTTTTTTAAGTTAAATTCTATAAGAATTTTTAAGTATATGTTGTATATATAAATGAGATGAAGTAACAATTTTTCTTTAAATAAGATGTATATAAATTAATCAATAAAAAATAATTAGAAATATAATGCGAGTGATTTTTTTTTATTGATTTTAGTTAAGATGCAATATACAATGGTAATTAAATAATAATAATAATAGTTGTAGCAACAGCAATTCACGAATAAAATGCATTTACAATTCCATCAATTTCTAATTCTGAAATAAACTCAATCACTTTTATATCTTTATGAGAACTTTTATCACGCAAAGCTGATTCACACATTGTATTAGCTCCAACAGGTTTAACGCTGCTGTCAATTGTCCCAACCGTGATATGCGGTATCTCATTGATACTTTTGATAAATGGTTCTATTCCCTTTACAACTAAAGCCATTTTTTCTCCATCAAATATCAGTTTATCAATATATAATTTTACTTGTGTTTTCAAATCGCACAAATTTTTACATTGTTCCCACATTTCTTTAATTTCTTCTGATGGATTATTTTTTAATAGATTTCTATGAATAAGTGTTACGTGACCATCAATCTTGATACGGTTGTTTTGTCGTAACTTATGGAAAGTTCCAGAATCAACGTTTGGATTTTCTCTAAAGAAATCAGCAAGAAAGTTTTCCATGTCAAAATTTACGAGTTTAACCCCATAATAAACAGGTGGTTTATTTCTAGGTTTATTGGTCTTTTTTGGTGACAACGATGGTGTTGGATTGTTTTTGTAGGGGTCAGGAGATGGTAATGTATCCTTGTATCTGTTTAATTTCTCGGGAGATCTTTTTTCAATAATATTATGAACAGTTGGTTCATAATGTGTTGCTTCTTCTATTGCCTTAACAATTTCTTCTTTTGAAGGTTCTCTCATCTCAAGAATTGTTTTAAGTTGTTCGATTGCTATTTTAAGATTATCTTTCAAGTCATTGGCAATTTTCAGTTCTATCACAAGATTAAATTGACCGTCAATCCCATGGTTGGAATCAAGCGGTTCAAATGATCGTAGAAATGACCACATAAGATGTTCATATTCAGGAATATCTGGTATACGTGATTGATGATGTTCTCCCCTTTCAAAAACACGTTTTGAAGTAATCTTGTAAACTTCTTCTAGATTGTTTACATCATGATACCAATACAATCCAACTATAAAAAGATTTTGATGTCTTGATTTCACAGCTTCAATCAAAGTTTTTCGAAGTTTTAAGGTTAGATTATCCCTAAATTAGATTTACATTAAAAAAAAAAAAAAATTCATAAACAACAATAATAATAAATTAATTAATCATAATTTACAATTAATTCATCACACCAATCTGCTATAACAACATCATGTGTTTCCAAAAGGTCACCAATGTTTTTATAGAAGTCTGCCCTGCTTGTCATATCATCTTTTTGTATATGTTCAAATCCAAATAATTTAGAAAGTGCCAATGATAATGATGTCTTTCCACATCCAATTGAAGCAATTGTGATAATCAACGTTTTCTTGAACTCTTTATCAACTTTGGTAGAAATTAATGTCTCGCCTGGCATTTTCTGGTCATTCAAGAACATTTCTCTTATTTTAATGATTCCGTGATTCATTTTGTATCCTTCAAAAAGACCTGGTTCTGTTCTCAATTTTTCCGTTACCCAATTAATATACTTTTGAGTTAATGCATATTTAGATTTTGGTTTTTTTTTATTTAAAATTGTTTTAGTTACTTCTCTCCATTCACGATACATAAGGTATGGTTCATCATATTTAACTTTGAAAAAGAAACATTCACCAGTTGATCTATCTTTAGTTCTAATTACAAATCCTTCAACTGCTCTTCCATCATAATGCCCATTTTTTCCAATTTTTTCTGTAAACTCCTTAACTTCATCAATTGATTTTTTCATAATATATTGCGTTGGTATGAATCCCCATTCTCTAGCAAATTCTTGAACCTTTTCACTTGGCCATGTTTTCAAATCAATTACATTATAATTCATTCCATGAAGATAAAGACCACTTATCTCGGAAGGATACGGTAATACATGTTCCTCAAAACTATCATCGCAAAGCTATTTATTTTATTTATTCACAGATTTTTAAAATTAGCATAAATATTAACGATATTAACAATAATAAAAATCATTGTTTAATAAATATGATAATAATCAAATGAATCAAGATTTTAAGAATAATTTATAACCTCTGCTACTGCCGTCAATTTATTTTTATACAAAAAATTTGCAAGGTCATTTGGTGATTTTTTTGTGCTAGCAAGATGTCTTTCCACCCATTCTGTGCCTTTGACTGCATGAGCAATGACTCCTTGTCTTTCTCCTGTTGAATGTTTACTAGTTACAATAAGGTGACCACCAGGAAGCCCTCCAATGAATATAACACACCCATTTTCCTTAACTGTGAGTTCATAAGGACCTTCAGTATGTGACATTAGGTCTTTCCACTAATTAGATACATTGTAGTTATTATTTATTGTTCTAAAAAAGGTCTATTTAAATTTGATAAAACAGTTCAATTACCGTTTTCACTTCACCAACGTTAAAAAACTTATTATAACCACGAATAACAATTTCATATCTTCCATCTTCAGCTTTTCTAGTAAATAGTCCTCTGGCCATAGTAAGAACATGACTTTTTTTATAATCCCCTTCCTTTATTTTCCATGAAGATACAGTGATTCCTGATTTATGCAGATATTCTGTTCTTTTTGCGCCTCGAGTTTTTCCAGTACTTGAAACATCCTTTTTTTTATTTCCATAAAGTGACTGTATAAACTCGTGTGCTTTTTGTCTATCATTTTCATTTACTCTGTACATTTCTGAATTAATAAAGTTCCAAAGTTTCCCGAGTAGAATTAGATGAAGCTTCTATATTTATTTTTTAGAAAAAAATTTTTACCAAGTAAAAATTTGAAAAAAAGATATATAGATGCGAAAAGACAACATTATGATCCGCTGATTAAATGAAAATGTAATAGGATCGTATTACCATTGGTAATACCGACGACTATGTCTAAAAAAGTATTTATTCGAGAAATATTGACGCGGTTTAACCAAATTTGAAAATTTTGTTTTGTATATATGGCACAATCGAATTTATATTTTAGCGGAACGCTCTCTCCGAGCATCATAATTATAACAAGTTAATTTATTCAGGTTCTGAAAGCTATTATTAAATCTATGATAATTAATTTGCCAGTCCAATCATTTTATTGGACTTTGGACTCTCTGGACCAGTCCAGCCCAATTGGCATAGTAAAAAAAGTGGCTTAGTTGTACATTGGACCAGTCCACTTTATTGGACTTTATCATTCTTTGCGAGAATTTCATGTTTTGCCTGATAAACCAAATAATCACTTTAAAAAAATTTGTTGTTGAATTGTAAGTTTTTTTTGAAACAACTTCCCAAATGAGGAATGGTTAAATTGAGTCACTGATACTGATACAAAAACTACAGTTGAAAGAAATAGGAAACCACTCAGCTATTGAACAGAAAGGAAAAATGGGAAGTAGATATGTCACTCACCACATAATTAAATGCTGACCACTCCTTAGAATTGGACCGTGTCCAATTGATTTATTGTACTAGACTGCTTGGACCAGTCCAATAAGTACAATCGCCAATACTTAATGGTAATTATTTATCCAACCACAGTTTATTTTTGATTAAAATTTATTTAAAATGCAATTTTAAGGAATAAAAGTTTTAAATTGCGCATCAAACAAATCACGTGATTTAAAAATCAAATTAGAATGATTAATATTAAGTAGTCGAAACTAATTTATTAACATTAGCTTATTTCTTTATCAAACTTTATTCTAAACATATTATCCATGCTATGAAATTGCTCTATAAGTAATAATGTTCCATTAATTTACTAATTCAATCTTTTTTCTTTTCAATATATGTTCTTTTGTTTCCAACTCTAAGATCAAAATTACAACCTTCATATATAGAGAATAAATTATTATTAAAGTTACTTTTTTTTATTATTATGAGAAAAGCATATATATACACCTTTTTAAAGAAAATAAAAAGTTGTATATACCTGCTCTTTCACTAATGAAATATAGAAAATATAGGAAAAGATACACACCTATTGGTGATATTTAAAGATATTAGGACCACATTCTATGAAAATGTGTAAAAGGTACAAATTACATACAGAGCATCTATATAACATTAATTCTTTCTCATTAATCTGGATCTTTACATTGGCTATGTGTGTTTATTTTTATTTTAGTATGTTAGTGAAAATTTATTATTATTTAAACACTTCATGGATTCTTATTAATAGTCTCCCATTTACTACAGTTCACTCACTCTTTATAGCAAACCTTCCATCTCTATATGTAATTTTTTACTAAGATTATAGTGAAGTTTGTTATAGAGATTTACTTGGTGTTCATTATAGACAGTGTTGTGCAATTGGAACATTGTAATGCTATTGGAATGTTCCAATGTGGCTCCAATATGGTTTCA